TCATCATCATCATCATCATCATCATCATCATCATCATCATCATCATCATCATCATCATCATCATCATCATCATCATTATTTATTGATTTATTTTGAGGAAGAAAAAAAGTGAAAAATGGAAAAATGTGTAAATATTTTTATACAATATAATATCTTAATAATATGAATGAAAATATCATTATTATTTGATAAAAATTACCGTTCATTGTAGCTTTTCTGTACAATTCCAAAGATTTAGATATTTTACTTTCAATCTGCGCAACATCATATTTTATTAGAACTCCACATTTTGAACAATTAAAAGAAAACTCTTCTATTTCCATCTCCAAAGATTCTTAATAATAATAATTAACAATTAATATATAATATAATACTTAAAACATTACCAAATTAAAATTTACCTGGTGGTTCAATTGGATTAGTGCAATTTGGAGTTGAACATTTCAATGCATTTCTTGGATCAACATTGTTTTTTGACTAGTTATGAATTTGGATTATTTAATTGAATTTATTTATTAGGAAATTTAATTTATATAATAAACACAAAATATTTATTTTACCTTATAATATTCACATAATTCACATTTACACAAGAAAAAGTATCGTTCTCGTAAATCTTTTCTTCTTTCAATATTAGGTTGCAGTGTATCAGAATAATTTATTGTAATCTATTATAATAAATATATCAATATTATCAATAGAATTAATGTTTTTATAATTATTGTTGAAAGTAAACTTTTTTCCTCACTAACTTCTTGATTTTTTTTAATTTCTTTAATACATTTAACCAATAATTTTGAGTTTTCAAACACTACAATACAATTTGATGCGCAAGAATGATTTAGTAATGCTGTATTCATATAAATTCCTACTCCAATTGTTACCAGCTCATCATCTAAAATTGAAAAGCTATTTTCTATCACCTAAAAAATAATATTATTACTTTTACTATTATTTAATTATTAAATTAACTAATAATACTTGGTATAGTTAAATCAATCAATCATTAAGTAAATAGTTAACTAACTACCCTACAAAATAATTCGATCAAATCTTTTGCTGATATTATTGCATCACGAGTAATATATTGTTTAACCAATATACTCATTTCGCCAAAATCTTCAATTTTCTCTTGTTTAAATAATTCCCTGTCTAAATTTTGTAAAAGGAAAAAGAATTTATTAATTATGAATAAAAATAAATCATAATTATAAATAATTATATTTGCTTACTGCTAAGTAAATTATTGACTTCTTTAGACTAATATATTTATGTGTGTAGCATTAGTAATCTGATGAATTGTTTGTAAAAGCACCTAGAAATTATTTTTATAATAAATAGTTACGGTGTCTGGTTCATTTTTTCTACGCATAAGAATTCTACTGATTAAACGGATTATAGTAGGTGGCTTTCTTTGAACCTTTTTGACTGTTTTACATTCTTGTTGATGAAATATCCAATCTTTACGTTGACATTCCTAATAATTCATATTTAATATTATATTATCTATCAAAAAGCAAAATTGTTTTTATGGCAGAAAAATAAAATTTTAAACCTTAGAACAATAACAATTCATGTTACAGGATGCACAACGTAATATTTTTTCACTTTTTGAAAAGCAATTACTACAAAATTTTGCAAGGTTTTCATCATCTACCACTGCTATATATGGATAATCTACCATTATAAGATTACCTATATTTTTTTTAAAGAAGAAAAGGATAAAAATAATATTAATTAAATGCTTCCACAATATATACACGTGCATATATATATGGAAGTAATTTTGACCAGGTTTTATATTTTCTAAAGCATAAATCCCTCTTCCTGATTCCCGAGTTGTTCTTAATTCAAGCTTTTTATAGGCATCTTTCAGATCAATCGAAGAAATCATTTGTTGTTGTTGTTGTTGTTGTTGTTGTTCGTGCTTTGTATTATCATCATTCAAACTTGTAATCGATCCTTTTTGATTGACTTTATCTGATGCAATTATTAATTGTGGATTACGTTTAACGCCTTCAAAACCTGTACAAAGACCTGACTAATGCTAAGTTAATAATGTTAAAAAGAATTAAAAAAAATCAAATATACAATAAAAAACATATGCATACTACTTCATGATCTATCTCATCAAAAAAACTTAAATGTGTCACTAATCTAACATTTGGATTTATAGATTTTTTTTTAAAATCTTGAATTTTAACGTCGATTTTTTTATCTTCAATTGTCGCTTCTTTTTCATCAAAAATTTTTTTACGTATATTCTTTTTTTTACTACTCATTTTTATAAATTGATTATCAATAGATAGATGGACTTGGAAGTACCAAATTCCTCTGAAAAAATTTTTTGGATTTTAAAAAGTACAAAGTATTCTTACTCAGAAAAAATAGTTTTTGTAACTAAAGTATGGAATTCAACTGATATCATTTTTATAAACAAGAACATCTTTATATCAGATTGGGTTTGTTCTACTTTGATAAAATCATGTGGATTTTCACGAATAAGGTAGCTTTTTAAATAAATAAATGCTGTAATGATAATGATAATATTTGCTTAATAGTAGTAGTATACTAATATTTAATTTAATTATTGGAAGTTTTGGCGAGACACCTTTCCTGAATTTAGATTATTGGAGTTTACTTGAAGATATTTTGGAAATAAAAAAAGATTCTTCTAAATGCCTTGAAAGCAATATCGATAATTTAATAAGAGATCAAGACGAATTATCAAAATTATTAAATAAACTACCATTGGTTAATGTATTTACAAGAGTTTTAGAATTCTTTATAGATTTTTCTAAAGGTGAAACTGACTATGACACATTAAAGCTGTTAGAATTAGTCAATCGAAATTTTCGACAACTTATTGAAGAGTCAAAATTTTTTAAACCTTCAATTGATCAAATTACAACATTGGCTTTGAATGCGTGCAACCTTTTGGTGAAATTAACGTTTGATGTTTCTTCTAATGATCATGATAATGATGATGATGATGATTCAATGAACATTGATATTGAACAAAAAAGTTATGAAGTTTTACTAATAGAATTCTTTTCAAAAATTATAAAATTCTTAAATCACTGTTTTATCACGAATTCCAATCCAAAAAAGGTTTCAATTTTTATTTTTAATTTAATTTATAATTAAAAATTTGTTTTGGCTTACAGCTTCATGCCTATTTACTCTTTATTATTATTCTATTGTCATTGCTATTGCAAGGCATATAATATACTTATTGGAAAATTGCTTGGGCCAATTCTTAATTCTAGATATTTCCTAATTCATTTAAACGAAAAAAATCAATACACAATTATACAAAATATTATTGAACAATCTCTTCAACAAATTAATGATGTATTAAGATTTGGTTTATTCAAACAAGATCATATAATGGAGTATGTGCCAGGCACAAACGAATCTGATACAAATCAAGATAAAAAAGTTATTGGTAAGAACTCAACTAATTATCACAAGCAACTTTTTGAAAAATTAAGAGAAATCATGAATACAAAAAATTCATCATTTTTCAGTGGCGGTGGCGATGGTCAATTATTAATCGGTATGTATTATCTTTAGACGAGCTTTATTTTAAATCTTCAAAACTAAAAAAAAAATTTTAATTATACCAGTCATAGAAACGTTACCTGATTTATACAGCTTTTTTATTGAGGAATTACGAAATCATTTGAATTCTTTATCATCATTAAAGAACATAAAAGAAATTATTAATAATCAAAGATTGTTAGAATTTAATTTCCTTTTGGAATTTTGGGAAATAGTAAACGATATAATAACAAATTCAAATTCTCAACAACAAAATCCTGTTCACTTTAAAATTTCTTTAGAAATTCAGAGCATATTGCTATCAAAGCTTTTGAATTTTAATGTTTATCAACCAAAAAAAATCTAATTTAAATTTGATTTTATTGATAATAATAAAAATAATACCCACAGATGATTTTACATACCATACGCATATTAATAAGACAAATAATTTCGGTAGTATAAAGTGAAGATATTCGGCAATCGTTACAGCCTTAATATTAGCTTTTTCCTGTTTCTATTGCAGTTGTTGTTTCTGAATTGTTATTAGTGACGGGCATCATAAATATAATTCCTTTCGTAAGAACCAAATAAAAACTTACGTCCCGTCATCTGAAGTTGGGTCTTGAATCCTTTAATCCTTTGGAGCTGGAATTTGGATCCGGTCTATTTTTGTTGAACTGGCTCGAATTCGGATTCTAAGCAGACAAACCGGGCTGCAACCGGATTGGGACCGAGCTCAAAACGGATTGAGTTTTTTGGATGATGATAATACAAATAAAAACAAAACTTCACTAATGAAAAATGAACTATTCTGATACGTGCAATTTTTTTTACAACGTTGTTAGTTTTTGCAACCATTAATGCTCACAGCCTCCAATCTTTTATACTCTTCTAAAACCGCCCTTACGAAATTTCCAATCTCCTAAATTGTTACAAAGTATGTGTTGCTCTGATTTAGTCGAGTTGTATTCTCGTTAAATTAATTCTTTATTTACAATTAAGATTACTCAATAGTGGAAGATTAGGGCATTCACTGGGATATATAAATAGTGACAACTAAACATATTTTAATATTTTTGTGTAATTTTTTTAAATTGAAAAAATTCTTTACTTTTTATTATTTTAAATCTTTAACCACTTTGAACAACTGTTGACCATCCTTTACGTATAATTCCTTTTTTCCCCCATCTATACAAAAATTAAAATAAAATAAAAAATTTATTAGTGGAATTATATTTTGTTTTGGGACATGGAAATTTTTTAACACAGGCACAGACACATGTACATATATTAACATTGATATCATACAATTCTAACAATCTGTCTCCTTTATTATTGGTTTCACTATAAGCTGCTTGTGGAAGTAAAGTTTCAATGATTTCATAAACAACCCGTGGTTTAGCTTCAGTTAACATGTCTGAAATTTAGCAAAAAAAAATTATAATACATTTGTGTATATATATATGTATCATTTCATTTTCATATATTATAAGATTAAAATTAAAACCTTCTGTTTCTGGTTTTATAAAGTCAAATAGACAATCTGGATTCCTTTGATGTCGAAGTTCAATTTCACCCACCTAATACAATCAATGAATATGATAATAATAATAATAGACTCATTATTAACAATATAAAACAATAAATACCTTTCTAAAAATCAAAAGAGTTAACTTTGATTTATTGAAATATCTATATGGTTGATGTGAAATCTGATTGTTTAAATTTTTTTTAATCCAACAGAAATTTTCCACATATCGAAATTTCCAATTTTCAGCTATTTGAACAATATCTGGTATAAATTCCTTTTCAACCCAAATAAAAAGAAACCCTTTAGGAACAACGGCTGTTACATTAAGTTTACCCTACCAAAAATAAATACAATATTAATCATTATATATATATTTTATCAATTTCCAATTTTTTGGGTTTTTATTATACATACTAATTGCTCAACAGTTATTTTTCCTGGAGATGGATTTTCACCTGGTAACAAAAGTGGTGGATCTATATATACAGCTTGGAAGTTTGTTCCAAGTTTTTTAAGATCCATTGATAAAATATCTTTTTCAAAATATCTATATTAAATAAAAAAAAAATTCTTTTCAATTAAAGAAAGAACATATTAAAATTTTTATTCATATTTACCTTGAACTGGAAACTTCTTTGACTGATTCATCAGAAAAAATAATACTATGTGCCCATGAAGATTGGATTGGTGCAGCAGGAATTTTAATATATGTTGGTAAACTTGGGTTTATATTACTATTTATTAGAATATTATTTTAATTTATTAATTTTATTAAAATTATAATATTTAGAAAACAACAACAACAACAACAACAATGATAATGATAATTGATTTGTTCATATATTTATTTACTACCTGACTTTTTTTTTTATTGTGTAAAAGTTGCCATTCCTATCTTGTAGATTAGCTTGTAAAATTTTATATTTTTGTAATTGTTTTGCTTTTTCATTAAGACGCTGATCTTTTTTATCACGTTTTCTTTTCTTTTTATCACCAAACTCTTCATCCCAAAAATCATCATCTACTGCCATGTAATCACTATTATAAAGAAGAAAAATCCCTGGATTACTAAATATTATTCTTTTTTCTTAGATTTTTCTTAAAAAAATCTTAATTAACTCTTCTTCATAATATTCTTCAATACTATTTTCCATTTCTATTCTCCATAATTCTATATCCTCAAAATCATCAACATTTGGTGCTAGAGTAGCAGATTTGACGGTAAATGTAGAAGTTCTTTTAAATACTTCTTCCAATTGTTCCTCAGTCAAAGGCTCTTCTTCAACATTATCATCATTAATTAAGTTTTCAGGTTTAGTGGCAGCAATTTCTTGTTGAATTTTTTCCAATTCTTCAAATTTTTTCATAATTGCTTCGACGGGTTCATCATCTTCAACATACCCAACAAAAAACGCGTTACTTTAAAATTTTAATGAATAAGTTTCTTAATAAATATAAATAAGGACAATCCATAATTTACATGTTATAATGTGTAAAGTACAATAGCATTCATTAACCTACCTAGCAGTTGATAAATAAGGATTTCTTTGACGTCGTCTTCTTACTGGTCTATCGCTCATCATATTATTAATTAATGAAATCTTCTTTTCAATTATGAAAATTTTTTTCGTGTTGTATATATATGTAAGAGAGATCGACATATGAAAAATCATATAAATGTTACAAATGTTACACCAAAATGGTAAATCTTGGACCTATCAATTGGCCGGTTAATATTGGCTAATTAGAACGAATTTACTACGGAAGTCATGTGATGCGCTAAATATTACATCACGACCAACGACCATCTTTCTATATTATTGTAACGGCTACGCCGCACATTGCGCAATGTCACATGAAAGATTATTCCTATTCATGTTTCTATATTAACCTACTCATCTGATGTAAATATTTATTTAGAATTAGTAATTAGTTGATCCTCAACACTTTTCTGAGAATTCAATGTTCCATAAGCGAGGCAAGATAGACTTAGATAGTCAACAGACGCGTGACCAAAAAAAGCTGGAAATATGTAAGAAACAAGGCATAGATCTTATTTTAATACCATATGATGCTGATTTATTACCATATATAAAAAGCAAATTGCAAAAGAAAGGTTATCTATCAAATACAGATATAATAATGTGTCAAAATCAGATAATTCGTCGGAATAAAAAAACATAATATATATATTTATAACGAAAAGATGTTATATTGTGTATTTGCCGTGGATGAGGTAAAACCTTCGAAAAAAATACCAGGGAGATAAAGATGCACCAGCGTGGCCTTTTCGTATTGTAATGGCGGGGGCTAGCAATTCAGGTAAGACCAATATGAATTTAAACTTGCTAACAATGCCCAAATTTTATTACATGTTTAAGAAGAAAAAGTGTTCTAAGATAGGGGAACGTAACGTTAAATGCGATGATGTAGTTCTTTTCGGACATCATTTAAATGAGCCAAAATATAAAATAGTTCGAGATTTTTATAAATATCTTGCCCAAGACAAATCAAAGCCCTATTATGAAGATGTCACATTTTCTACACTATCTCCTGATAAAATCCCAGATCCCAAAAAGTTTAATGCTAAAAGAAGTACATTAGCGATATTTGAAGATCTCTACTCTGACCCTCCAGCTATACAGAAAAAAATTATTCCATTTTTCACTCGAGGTCGTCATGAGAATATTTCCTCAATTTATGTTGCTCAGAAATTCCACAAAATCCCAATAGATATTCGTGAAAATGCTACTCACATTGTTCTCTTTAATGGTGGGGGCTCTATTTGAAAACTTGCAGATATTATAAGTCCTTACACTGATGTAGATCCACGAAAAGCTTCAAAAATTATTGACGGTTATTTGAGGCAAAAAGAGTTTATAGTTATAGATCTGAGTCTTTTTCACACCCCTCTTGATCTAGAAAAGGAGATCGAGGGATTAAAAGATAATAAACTTTCTGCCTAACCAGGGCAAGATTTCAGAGACGCAGGGAATTTTTAATCTTTTGAACTGTGTTAAGAATATAAAACTGCTTCAAGTTTCCGAATGCTTATATAAAGAACTCACCCTCTTATTCTTCCGGAGTTACTTGAAAATATATCCAGTTTCTTGGCTAAGGATAAAGCCCTTTACTCTGCTTTATTTGTTAATCGCCTTTGGTATCACTGTAGTGCTCCGATTTTATGGAGACGTATTGAATTTTTCACAGAAGATTATCAGCAAAACCAGCATGGTCAAAATATGTCTCAAGCTCTTGCTTTGCGATTAAACAAGTTTAAAAAAGTTATGTGTGAAAAGAAAAAGCCACTTTATTGCTCAAAGATGACATATCTCAGATTAGAAGGTTTAAAAATCTCAGATACATTACTTAGTGAAATTTTACGTTTATGCCCGAATATAAACTTCCTTATTCTGGATCAAAGTTATGGTTTCAGTAAAATACCGATTATAGAAATTGCAAAATACTGCCCAAACCTACAGCATCTGAGTCTTAATGCATGTATGTGTCTGACTAATAGATGCATTAGTGAAATAGTACGATCCTGTCAAAATTTAAATTACATAAATCTTGCTTCTTTATATAGAGATAGCAACATCAGTGGTAAATCTGTAATCAAAATAGCACAATCTTGTCCCAATCTAGTATATTTAAATCTCTCTTCCCAGCCTTTTATTAATGATGAATCAATTTGTGCTATTGCACACTCATGTGTAAAACTTCAATACCTGAACTTGACTTTCAATGAAATAATTACAGATGAGTCTATATGTGCTATTGCAACTGGCTGTCCAGATGCGAAATTATTCTCTCGAAGGCTGTGAACGGATAACTGATAAATCAATTAAAAAAATTGCCCAGTTAAATCAAAACCTGCAATATATCAGCCTCTCTTCTTGTTATGAAATTACAGATGATGGTGTATGTGATATAGTTCGTTCATGTCCGAACCTTTGGGGTCTTAATTTTCAATTCATTTATATCACTGATAAAACAATATATGAAATTGCACACCACTGTTCAAATTTACTAGTTCTCAATACAAAGAAATGCCCGTTTGTTTATTTCTGATGAATCAATCTACTTTCTATTAAGCAAAAAACCGGCACTAAACATAATATTAGATTGGGTTCCGTGATTCATATAGGCTGGGATAAAAATTTTGACATTAGATGAATAAACCAAGGTTTGACATTCAACTAATTATTTTTTCCGTTATTTATTAATACAGCAATATAAGTACATCCTACTCACCACTTCTTATATAATTGAGAAGATGCACGTATCCAGCCTAGTGTTGAAATTGAGGTGGATAACAAGCACGATCTATTATCTATACTAGGGATTTTTGTGTCCCATAAAACAGGTTAATATGAAAAAATCAAAGTAAAAAATGTTACCAACCCTCAGGGATAACGAAATAAAATCTATATGAATAAGTTATATAATTAATAAATCGAATAAATAGATGTATATATTATATATTGTTAAATAAGTTATGCGTTATTAATTTGGCACATTTCTTCTCGAACGGCCCATAAGATTTTATGGTGTAAAGCGAGCTCAGTTGCCTTGAACGTTATTACACGAGTTAACCGGGATATTATTTTCATCTTGTACTATTTTTGCCGAAGCTATACTACTTTTTGATTTAAAATCTTTTTCCTTTAATTCTATTGGTTGGAAATGCCAATTGTGAATGAGATGGACTATAAAATCTTGGAATTGCGAGATTTTTTTAGGCTGATGAATTTTATTATCGTCTAGTGAAGGCTGAACCAATGAGGTCTGATCCAGTGAAGGCTGATCGTTCGGTAATAAGGAGAGATGTTGCTTTATGAAATCTGGATCTCCATTTCTTTCAACGTTTGTTGCATAGAAGTAAGAATCTGGTTGAGAAATATACTTTTCAATTATCTTCTTTTCACAAGGTGTGACTGGTCGCATTATTGCACACTGCAATAAGCAAAATCCCAGTTCCGGATAGGCCGTAAAAGTAACCATAATAACATTTTGAAATTTATGGACAAAAAAAAGGTAAGTAAAAGTATACAAGAATGGATGTGCAATGAACAAGCCTAAAGCAAATAGTGCGATGATTAAAGAAGATACTGCGAAAGTAAAGTGAGAATCAAGGAAAACTAAGTGGACGACAAGAACATAATAGATCTCGGTATAAATAATAATGAAGTGAGAAGGAAATAAAAAATTTATTGAAGTGATAATTGCAAAATAGCCAGTAAAAAAATCCATAATTGTTAAAGGTTGTATCGTTATAGCAATTCTGAAGGTGAAAAAAGTAATCAAAGTTGAAAGTTGATAAATCATGAACAAGAAGAACAGGTTGGGTATCATGGTCTGGAATGCCATCATGTAAGAGAATTTAATATTATGATAAACTCGTTTCGCCTTCCCTGATAACAAGCACTTGAACTTAGTCGGCTGATCATATTGTGTATCCTCTATTGCAGTTTCACGCATATACAGTGTGTGACAAAAAAACTTAATTGGCGATACGTCTATGAATCAGTGAATTTTAATTGACGATCCGTCTATGAATGAGCGAGTTGTGCATAGTGATCGGCGGGGGAAAATTGACACAAAAATGTCCAATTCGATAACTTTGCACGAAAAGTTGTATTATACTTTTGTTCCACTACATATTTTTTTTTACAATATATATATGTATTTAAAGAAAAAAAGCTTATAATGAGGGATGTAGAATTTTTTGGTCCTTTTGATATATAAATTATTGTGTAACAACATTCATATTGAATACAGAATTACATATGTATTATAATACTTCATAAACAATTGCCTAAGTAATTTATTTTGCCATAGATTTGAAGTAAGTTGATTAGCTTTGATGTATATAGTCTTAGTTTC